ATTTGGGGCCCCCCCCCCCCCCCCCCCCCCCCCCTTGGCACAGCAAAACCAAGAATAGTGCCTGCTTGCTTCATCCTTGTGAGACGAAGCCTGGGCCAGCGAAAAACCGGCATACCGCTCCGTCCCGCTCCGTCCCGGCACTATAGGGATGCGAGGTCAATGGTCTAACAACTGCGGCATTGCACGACTATTGAGTACACTCACCCACCCTGTCCTCGTCAGATGTTTCGCCACGGTTCAGTCCACTGCGACCCTCACGGCGCGAACGTTCTGGTGAGACCGCACCCGGAGGCAAGGAGGGGGTCGGGGCGCCCGCAGCTGGTGCTGCTCGATCACGGGCTGTACAGGGAGCTGACGGAGAAGTTCAGGGTGGACCACTGCAGGCTGTGGAAGGCGATGGTGTTCAAGGATATTCCAGGTGGGACAACGCGAAGGGGAAAGGGAGGGGAGGGGGGGGGCGGGCAGGCTGTTTTTCGCTTGCCTCAGCCTCGTGGGACCCTGTATCTGACTTTTCGTTTTTAAACGATTGGACGAAGCAATACCGAACGCTACTGTCCCGATGCGGTCGAGTCACTCTCCTAAAGCCCTTCGCGCGTTGAGCGCTACGTTTATCGTACGCGATTTTTCGCCTGGGTACTTGCTCAGCTGAATCATGATGGGAGGATTTTTTTTTCCTTCCATCCTGTTGTGCCGGCAGCGCCATCGAGAGTCGACATGGCATGGTGCCGCGCAGCAGTAGTAGTCGGCCCTTCGAAAAACTGCCCTTTTCGTGACGCTTGGTTAAACTGCCGTGCAGCTACATACATAGGTGCCATGGTAGGTGCCTGCCACGGAAAAACGTTGAGGAAAGGCTAGCGACCGCAATTGAACACAATCTCCGAAAGTATCCTTTCCCCTGTTGGATGATGCGCATGTTATGTGTGTGGCAGTACTGTAGCATCCATAAAGAATTCGCGTGCGTCCACGTGCCAAATACATTTTTTTTTGTTTTGACACCGCAGGGGTGAAGAAATACTGCCAGCGGCTCAACTCCGGCGACATGTACCACCTGCTGGCGGCTATCTTGTGCGGCAGGTCGTGGGACGCAATCGAGGACACGTGCGTATGTGGCGGTCGGTCGTCGTGCCGAACGGATTTTTATTTTTTTGCCTTGTCGTTGAGAGTACCCACGGATGTTTCCGGTATTCTTTCGTGGATGTGGGCGCGACCGCTCGTGCCCGTGCCGCCGAGGAAGCTCCCTTTGTTCTGTTGTGGTGTTCTAGGGCTGTCAGGAGGGGGAAAAGCAGGCACATCTTGTCTCGTAGCGTGCCTCTGGATTGGATGCAGTCCGTCCGTCGTGTTTGTAGTAGTCCGTGACTGCTGCTGCTTCTGTGTCCGCCGTTAGATCGCGGGCGCGCTCCTCGTGCGTCTCATTGGCCTGTCCAACTCCCCCCACGTGCAGACTGCCCCTGTCATTTTGCTCGCTTGTCTGCTGGTCTATTCGCCGCCGGCGCGCCTTTGCCTGCTCTGCCTAGCCTTGAGAAACAGCTGGGAACGTTCGCAGCAGCTTTGGGGAAGGGTGTCAATGGACGCTTGCTCTCGAACCTCTTCCCCCCTCTCTTGCAGTATACCACGGGGTCTCCGTTCGCTTGTTCACGCCCGCGTGCCCCCCCCCCCCCCCACCCCCCCCCGTCCGCCCCGCACACGCACGCTCTCAGGACATCTGGGATGGACGGCCTCCACACGAAAGACATCGAGACGGAGAAGGGCATGGTGCGCGGCTACGTGCAGCAGTACGCGCCCGAGATAGCCATGCTCCTCTCCAAGGTCGACCGGCAGATGCTCCTGCTTTTCAAGACCAACGACTGCCTCAGGCGCGGATTTGGTGTTGATGTTGCGTGCCATGTATCCCAGCGATAAGCATCGACACACGAAAGGGTTGGTGGGGCATCAATTTTCGTTTTGAAGCAGCATGTGTGTCAGTCCCACCCCCCCTCCCTGATCAAATGCGGTGCAATCAATGCCTGCTCGGGTTTCGAAAGTTTTTTGTTACAGGGTTATGCGTTTCACCCTGCAGCATGCGCGAGACGACACGCACACACACTATGTTCACCATGGGAATACCTAGCTGGTCTCAAGGGCGCGCGCCCGTGGTGACCTGATTCACGCCTTCTGTGGTACCTTTTTTTATGCTTTGCTTGGATCATAACTTCGCTCCCGTCTGTACCCGCCTGGTTATTGCTGTGTTTGGATTGGTGGTTTCGACGGTTTCACGCAGGCACATTGACAGGACCCTGGGCGCGCCCATCAACACGTTCGTCATCGCCGCCAAGACATGCATCTCCGTACTAAGGGAAGAGGACGCCAAGGGGGTGCGTTTATACATGCGTACATGCGCAAACGCGCCCATACAAGCAGATACTCTGGGCGGGGGACTGTTAATTTGACCATGTTGTACGTCCCCGCTGTAGTTTTTCGAAACCCGCCCCGCCTCTACAAGCGGTATTTCGTCTGAACTCTACGTTTCGTTTGTGACTCAGGATTTCTGGCACGTTGCTACTCTTCTAGACCGCTGGACCAGAAAATTCGAGGCCGCGTAGAATACGTGATAGCCATACCCCCGCACCCTCCCGACTACTTCAAAGAACCTCCCTCCTATTTTGACCGAGGCTCGAGTCGTGTTTCCTGTGCGGGGTAAGGTATCCCAACATCGACGGTGTGGGTTGTAGTGTTGGGTTGTTACCGTGAACACCTGTCCTTATGGCCAAGCTCTTCCACTTCTCTTTGTTTGGGCCTAGGGTTCTAAACTCCGTAGAGTCCCTTGTTCTTACCGTAAAAGGCGGCGCATTCTGTATTCTTCTAGCCTACTGGCGCCGACCGCACGCGCTAAACGGCAAGCCGATGAGAGAACGTCAGCCGTACACAGCAGTGGGGAAAGAAACGACAAAAACTCTTGCACGATTGAACTATGTAACAGTGCCAACCGTGCAAGGTAGCCGTCGAAGAATGGGGTGGGAAAACTCTTCTCAGCGGGACACAAGCCGATAGCACTCTCCACTCCGGGAGTTCACACATTGGTGGGGAGGGGGGGGGGGGTTATAACACGGGCTAGGAGCTGCGTTTGTGTTTGTTAGAACACGGGCTTGGAGTTTTTTTTTTTTTGTGTTTGTTGTTGTTGCGACATGGTCATGGGATTATCTGTCTCCATCTCCCAAGCGCTTCGGTTCCGCCCCTGCCCTCCTGACGCCGTTCTCCTCTTGCTAAAAACGAAGTCCAGGCGCTGGCTCGGCTAGGAGCGAGCGAGCGCAATTTTGTCGTCCGAGGACTCCTGCGTCTGCTCTACTTTGTTCGGGGGGTTCCGGAAGCACTCAAGGTACAAGAGGATCAAACCTCGTAGGGAATACCACTCTGATCCGAAATATAGGGACCATTGTGGTATTCGCGCTTGTGATCCGAATGGCCCTTATGTTGGCGACCAGAGAGTGGTATGTGTGACCATCATGATATTTAGATCTGCATTATTTCGTGTTGTTGTGGGTTTGCCTACTACGGGCGTCCACTAAATTACTGCCAAACAGTTGCCCTGCCGTAACGCCGCAACGCCTACTTTCTGTCATGGTCCGGCTCCTCCCAAAACCTGGGCCTGGCCTCAAGGACGCCTTCTTTCGCGTGTGCATTGATTGGCCGAAAAAGCGCGGACCCTAACAAACGGGTCAATTGTAAAAATTCTGTTCGACGAGCGCATCGCATTTGTTTGGTTCTCACTTGTTCTCACTCGCAATTCTGTTTGTTGATGTACTTATGTGATGGTGGCGTTAGGTGAACGCACAGCTACTAGCGATGGAGGTCCAGGAGAGGCTGCTGGAGAGGCGCCTACAGCAACAACGCCGATAGCCAAAGCGACCTTATTAGAAGTAGACGAGCGTCAGCCTGGACGGACGGACAAGACGCACCGCTGTCGACTCATGTGTAAAAGTAGACGCCCAGCGCTTAGACTAGTCGGTTAGCCAAGGACTGAAACCTAACTATCAACGTGGGTAGTTACACAAGACACTATATTATAGTCTAATGGAATCGAAGGAGAGAGGCGGATTTATGTGTCTTCGCCACGACTCAGCTGGACCACAGCAGCAGTAAGGAGCGCGTAGAACTGCTGATGTTGCTTCGAATCCACGGGATGGTGGGCCATACCACTATCAGTTCTACTGCTGTATTGTAGTACATACGTCTCATCATCATCATCATCACTGGGTGGGCTGGTGTTTCTCATGAAGCCACGACGAAGTGCGTGAGATCTACTTCGTAATATGCAGGAGGATTGATTCTCTCTGAGAGTGCCACTATTAATATTACTACTGCTGCTGTAGAATTGCTGTAGGTGTTCAAAGTTTGATTCATTGGAGCTGGAGTTTTGAAACTTGATTCTTTGTACCATTAATTTTCACGCCATTCTTCGCACCCCTTCGACGGAGTTATTTCTAAAGAAGCTCGATTAACTCTGCAGCGGAACAACAGAGCAGTCAGTCAGTGACGGTGCCGAAATTTTGGCGTTGACTTCTCCGTCTCGTCGAGAGCTTTCCAAAAAAATGTACTGTGGAAGAAATATCATTTGATTTACTTTAGGCTCCTTTCGATGTGGCGCAAGGTAAGCAATCAAGCTTCAATCAGGGGGTGTGTGGTATCATGCGAACTGCTGGGTCCCATAAGCTACATTGAACATACCGAAGTGCCCGCGTCCGACTTGATCGACACGGACACAACAGACCGATGAGGCAAGCCATGTAGCCACGGGCTAAGTCCGTCGTGGGAAACAACGTTCGTGTTGTCTTTTTGTGTGCGAAGCGCGCAGTCCGCAACCGAGTAGAACACCCCCCCCGCCGAACCAAACAGACCATGAATAACGTTCTAGGAAAGGGCACCACCACAAGGATACAAGTTGCGGGCTATTGTTTCATGTGTATCTGCGATCTGCGACCCACGCGCGAAGCGCTTACGCCGCTCTCGCTGCTGTATGTTCTAGGTCTGCATCACACTCTGCCCTCTTGAGCAAACAAACCCTTTTCACCAACACGTGGGGGAGAGGGGAGAGAGAAAACGGGGCCCTCAGAACGGACGGGGGCATGGATTTCCCGGAGAACCTGATGACCATGCAGGCACACATCTCGGACTATTACCCCGCCTTTGTGGGGTCTCCTGAGGGGCCTTTACCACCTCAGTAACATATACGGTAGGATTTAGCCTAGGATATATTACTGCTGTAGGAAGAAATGAACGGCGTGGTTATATATACAGTCCCGTGTGCCGTCGGTCTTCAGGGGCGTCGGTGATTGGCTAAGACTGCTAATACATTTCCATATTGTAGCCCATACGTTTGTAGTGCCAATTTTTTTGGCTCGTGAAGACTACAGCAGCCAGCAGATTTAGATTTCCTTCTGCTAGAATTACCGACGAATATTTACCGACCGGTGCCCCTGCGGGCGACGCCGCGCCTGCGGCAGCAGCGCACAACAACAACCCTTTGCACTTTGCCTGCCCTAGCAATACTCAAGACTGTCCCGAGACCGCTGCTGAGGCGCCTAGCCATGGAGCATGTAATGTCTAAGTTCATCAAGAGGAGGAACCGGCCTTCGTTCGAGCCCAAGGCCGACAAGAAAGGTGGGGGCGCGGCTGGCCTTTTTTTCCAACTTCAAGCTTTCACCAGACAGATAACAGCAGGCAGGTAGATTTGGATTTCTTTTCGTGCGAACGAAGCGAGAGGATGTTTGCACGAGACATAATCTTGCACCACGCCCCACCCTTTTTCCCCATGTCACAGAGACCAAGAAGGAGGAGACCAAGAAAGCAGAGGAATCGTCAGAGGATGAAGAGGAAACGGAGCAGCAGTGGGAGCAGAGGACGGATCCTTACGGGCGCCTATGTTGGTGAGGTTGCGCATGCTTGTATTTTTTTTGTGAGTGAAAATGTGGAGCCTCAGGGTATCACACCAGTCTACAATACCCACAGGCAGCTATCCCCCTGTGTCAGGCCGTGTGTAAAGTGGCGGACTATGTATCGCAGCAGACGCCACTTGGAGCGCGGTCCTTTCTCTGGTTTAGTGTGTGCGCGCTTTCCGATCTCTGGCCCTTACATGGCCGTCACCTACTCTGTACTCCTACAACTTCGTGCAGGTGTTCACGAACAATAAATTATTTTCCGCTCTATGAGGATGGTGTATGCAACGGACCTGTGTGCAAGAGTTTTCGTTGTTCGTTGCCGTTTCGTCGTTTTTGCGTCCGCCCGCAGAGTTACAGAGCGCTTGATGACGCGCGATGTCTTATCGCTGCACTGCACGACTAGCCTCACCAGTTTTTTGCAATGGCTGTGGGACAAGGATGCGGAGCTTTTTTTCTCCCCGCAAAGACAACAACAACAACAACGACCACGCCAGCACCCCTACTATGTTGTCTGTATGTACGAAGGGAGACCAGGCAGTGCAGACAAGGGGACTGTTGCTTCTTCTGCAATGCGCTATAAACAGTGGTAGAGATTTTTGTGAAACGGCGCCCTAGGCGACGTGTGGAACAAACAATACACGAGAGATAAATATTAGACGAGAGCGTCTGTTGATTATTTAGTACAATGTTGGTGTCGGGGGATGACTGGCGTTCCACAAAACACCCGTCAAATGGAAGTGTAGGTGTTCCCCCCCGCCCTCATCAATTAATTGGTTAACAATTATTTGACATGACTCCACGGAGGAAGTTGAGGAGGAGAAACAGAAACGAAGTTATCGAACCCACCGAACGACTGACTGCTGCGTCTCAGCAGTGCGTGTGCACAAGCTTGTTGTGTCGCAGCTCGTAACGTTTTGTTCGTTCCAACGAGGGCGCGATTCGCACCCGCCCATTCCATCCCATTTGTTTCCCGGCGGCGGGCGAAGTTGGGAGCCTGCGTGTGGTTTTTCCGTTATCGTCAGGCTTCATCATGAAGCCCCGATCAGTGGACGGTGGGGGGCTTGACAAACACATTCAGGAAGGAAAGGCGCCCTCGGCAACTACGGAACACGTAGAAATAGCCCCCTTCCGTTCTCTCATGGCCACGAGGGACCAGCTGCCACACGCCCCTTTTTTTACCTTCCTTCCTCTCCAAGACAAGGCGGCACAGCAGCAGTGGTGCCTTCTTTTGTGATGTCTCCCCAAGAAAATAACGGCAGAGTTTGTACGTCGACATGGAGAAGATCGCGAGACATGATCTACATGTGGGCATACATGGACAGACCGAAAAGAGCAAAGAGCACGAAGCTCTTCAATATTTTGACCGAAAGGCAGTGGATAGAGAAGCGATAGACGCGAGAGCTAAGGTGAATGCCGACGAATTCAAGCACGGTCAAATGTCGATGCGAGATGTTCATTTGTAACTGCCACTGCAACTTAGGTTTATGGCGCATGAACCGTCCATCGTTTCACGCACACACCCGACCCTGTAGCTTTCATTTTTGGTCCCCACACGTCTGTCTCGGGCGCTAGTCATTTACCAAACTGGGTTTTGCCCTCAACATTTCCGCGTGTTTGCCGCACGGCCTTTTAGCCTAGTTGTAACGAACGTGCGACGCGAGGCTCGTGGCTGGTTCACACAAAACGGAGGGCCTTCGCTCTTCGTCTCCCCGAGGCACGCCCAACCATTGCTTCTCGGCTGTGCTGACTCGCGCCGTTGTTGCACGCCCGTGTCCTCTAACCCCCCCCCTCCCTGTCCTCCCCGATGTTTGCCATCGGGGTTGGGTTTTCGTCGCTTGGCAACGACGTTGTAAAACAAGCCCCCCACTCGGTGTTTGCCATCGGGATTGGGTTTTCGTCGCTTGGCAACGACGTTGTAAAGAAGCCAATTCACTTCGTGAACTCGGCAACCAGGTTACCGTTTTTTTTTTTACCTCGGTTTTTTTTTTTGGCGGTAACCATAATGGTGGTCGAGTAGATCATGTTGTGCGGGGTCGAGAAACCTCACTCCGCGCAACGGGGGATGATCGCACGACGTTGTGTTAAAATGGTCAAGCTTCCTCGAGGCAGTTACACAGTGCTTACAACTGTCTCTGGAAGTGAAAGCACCAGAAAATACATTAAGTCATACGTAGCTGTCATCCGTACGCAAGGAAGTAAGCACAAGATGCCGAACACCCTTAGCAGGATGCAGCTCACCCTTCATGCGACTCGCCAAATACCTCACGGCGCTTCGCGCTTGGTGATGTGAGAGCCTGGTCCGGTGAGAACCCGGCGTGCTCCGTCCCGGCTTTGTAGGGATGCGAGGTCAATGGTCAAACGACTACGGCATGCACGACTATGAGTACACCCCCCCTCCCTGTCCTCCCCTTCCATCCATGCCCGAATCGTGGAACTCGAGACTCGTGCACCCTACCGATGAGAACGCCCGGACTTTAACGTTACGTATACGTATGCAACTCAAAAGAAACTGTTTGTGGACGCGTGTAGACAGAGATTGTTCCAACAACGACGACGACTGCTCAGAGCGCGTTTTGGAGCACAACCTTTGCAACGAGAGCGGTACATCGGTACAAAAAACTTGAAACACGAGCCAGAAGAACAAGACGTTCGTTTCCAGCAACCGTCATCAGACGACTCTCCTTCCCCCCGAGATTCGCTAACCCCCCCCCCCGCGCTCCCCCCCTCCCCCTTTCAAACCATCAACAGGCAGCACCGCCAAACCGGGCAGGTTACCTACGGTACCAGCTATGCCCTCCACCAGCAGGGCTACAACACCGGCCTAGCGGCGAAGGGCTTCGACTCGGACGATGACGACGATGACAACAAGAAGCCGGCGGCCGCCGCCGCCGCCGCCGCCGCCCCTGTCCCCGCCCTTGCTCCGGTGGCCGTGGTGCCGCCGCCGCAACCGTACATGCAGCAGCCCCAGTACGGGATATCGCCGGTGCCCCGGCAGTACTACGGCCACTCGCCGGTGCCGTACGGGATGTCGCCGGTGGCCATGTACCCGGCAGCGCCCTGGAACGCTATGCCGGCGTCGCCCGTGCCGGTCCAGGTGCCGGAGTACATCAAGCGGCAGGTGAGAAAGAGAGAGCGCGCGGGGGGGGGGGGGGGGGGGGGAGGGGGAGAGAGAGAAGGGAGGGCGAGAAAAATATACTCCGGAGTGTATAGAGAAAGAGAGGTGCAGAGAGAGAGAGAGGGACCGCCTTCGCGAGAAACTATATTTTTTAGAGAGCAAATAAATAGCACAGGAAGGGGGTGCGCAGACCCCAGACCCTAGCCCAACTCCCCAATTGCATACTTTATCCAACATGTTTACTTAAGACGAACTACATAGCCTGCGAAGGCTACTGAAAGAAAGAGAGAGACAGAGAGAAGAGAGAGAGATATCCCAGCCAGAAGCACCCCAATACCTTGTGCTAAGCTGGAGGGGATCGGGCAACGAGTGTGGATTTTTCGTCCGCTATTACCGTTTTGTGCTCGTGGCTTTGCGCTAATTGCGCGCGCTGCTGCTCATGATCACGGTGCAAGCCCGTGCTTGTATCTCCCGTTGCTTGAAGCGCTGAGGCTCAGGGGGTCCGCGACGAGTCCTTCTGCATCTCGGTTTCCTTCCCTTTCATCCTTCTGTATGTCTCCTCCAATTCTTGTGTCACTCGAACGTGCTTTTTTCAAACCCGGCTACAAGAGCGGCACTCGGTTGTTCACGCAAACCAAACACGTCGCTTTGGCCTGCGTTGTCCCGTCTCGCCAAAAATAAAAAAATACTCCGCAGCACGCCGAGGCCCTCAAGGCGAAGAAGAAGAAGGAGGAGGAGGAGAAGAAGAAGAAGGCGGCGGAAAAGAAGAAGATCGCCGCGGGGGTGTGGGAGAAGTTGTACACCAGGGACGGCGGGAAGTTCTGGCAGCACTCGGTCACCGGAGAGACCTCCAAGACCGACCCCTACTACTGACGCCGCCGTCGGCGCTGAAGCGGTCCCGCGAATGCGGGGGGGGGGGGACTGGCTCCCTTGCTGATAAATTGCGGCGGCGGCGGCGGCGACCGAAGGGAGACCGCAAAGACACGGCGTTGCTGGCGAAGAGGTGCGTTGGCGTAAGCCGCGCACCCTTGTGAGATGGTTTTGGGCGGGCTCGAGTGGTCATTGTTGATTGTGGCAGCACAGTACCGGGGGGGGGCGAGGAGGATAAGGTCTATCGTGGCCACCCGCAAACAAAGCGAGGTTTTTCTGATTGGTGAATTTGTTTTTTCAGCACACGGGAAGCGGCCCGACAGAAATGAAATGCGGGTATTTAGGATGTGCAACACCCTACCGCGGTTCCGGCTTACGGCACGATTGGCGGCTGTGTCGCTTCAAGTTCCGCGTGTGCCACACCGGTGTGTGTATGTGTGTATCGTTTCTCCCCTGGCCTTCCGAGGTTGACTGACTGGTAACGGCTTGCTGCCTTTTTTTTTTTCTTGCTCGGAAGGATGTGTTGAGAGGGTGGAGTGTGTGCAAAGGCCAACAGAACAAAGCGGCGTGTTTTTATACCACTGTTTCAAGCGGGGGGAACTCGAACGGGACCCCGGTGTCACGAGGTCCGACAGGCGCATGTTGTGTTTAATATGAGGTGTATTTGTTTGTATGGTTTCGTTTTTTTGTGTTTTTTATTGTATGGTCCATCGTCTCTCGTTTCCGTGTTTGAGTGCCTTGCAGCATGTGTTTCGGGACAGACAGACAGTACGGCAAGCCCTCGCCCTGTGTGCACAGAAGTAGAGCTGGCGCTGGGTGGCTTTTTAAGGTTCAAGAGCTGCTTTACTGATTCAAAAGACAGATGCATATTTGTTTTATGCGTGGGTATTTATTTCCCCCCTCCTCACAAGCTGTTTAATGTTGGTTGGAGGTGGGAAGGGGGGGGGGGGGTACAAGTGAACGACAGCTGCCCTTGCGAATCCCCTTATCTGCGCAACGCGAGGGACACCGTCTTTCCGGCAGTTTCAGTGGTTTCGGGCGTATTTTACGGTGCAGGCACGCGGTGGTACCATGGTCCCTACATTTACCTGCACTGGCGGTTTCGGGTGAAGTGTCATGTTGTCCTTCTGTCCATTTATTTGAAAATATAAATGAGGACGCGAAGTAGGGGTTTTGCCTTGAGATGGGATGTCAAGATTTGCCGAATTCAGGTGGTGGTGTTCCCGCGTGAAACTGAAGGACGATTTTATTTTTTGTGCTTGCCCCGGACTGCTGTGCTTGTTCATCTTTCTGTAACCCTTTTCGCCGTATTTGGCTCAACCGATTCCTTTCCGGTGTGTAGTGTGCTGACAGCCAGAGAAAAACCAAAAGACGAACACACACCCCAGGAAGTTTATTGAGTACCACTTACTTTCTGCCAGGGAAATCGTCGTGCTTTGTTGTGGTTGATTTCGGGGGCAAAGAGATTGAGTCAGCAGGGACGAAAGAAGGCTATATTAGGGTCAGCAGAGGGCCATGCTGGCTCCAATAGGCCAGCACAGAGATACAGAGGCTAGGCGGTGGCTATACACATTGCGTGAGTCCTGCGCTATCCGTCTTCGTTTTTGGGGGTATTGTTGCTTGTTCGCAGCTCAGCGGAGCCTTGCGAAAAGGAGAACCTACCCCCCGTCGCTTAACACGCCCGCCCGTTCTTTGGCGCGGAGGTCGGCTAGCTAGAATAGCTGCAGGCGTGCGGCGTGGTTGCTGTGTTGGATCTGAGAAGAGATGGGGCGACGGGTGATAATCTTCAACCCGTTGACGCGGTGTAATTGTGGAGGGGAACGAGGGGGGTAACTCGCACGCAGCCCGTGGCTCTAGTTCGTTGTTGGTGAATCAGACCAGAGGCTTGTCGCTTTGAGGTCAACAAGCAAGTAAATAGCACAAGAAACCAAGTCTATTTTGTCGCACGAGACGAGCTTCCGAAGTTGTATCAGAGGGAAGACGAGTGAAAAATTAGGGCGCACGCTGTTGTTGAATGTATGTATGTGCCGGAGGGAGGAGGTGATTGATGGTGTGGCGATTCCTGGATGATTGCTTGCCGTCGTATGGTTGTTGTTTTCTCTTCTTGATTGTCTAGCCGGCTTTCTTTGTGTGCCCACGTTGTGAGCGCTGGCACGGTGCGGTGATGATGGTATGTAGTTGTGATGGTGGTGGCGCGATGTGGTATGGGTCGCGATCGTACCGGTGTGCCAAGCTAATTTGACGTTAAGAGAGGACGCGATAACTAACGTACAACAACGAAAATCAGAAACAGGAGGGGGCACGGCATTTTGGAAGGGTTTGGCCGAAGCTTGGCTCTCCGTTTTGGGAAAGTGTGGACCAGGACGAACTGTAGTGGTGGGCATGTGGGTGGTGTGTTTTCCATTCTCGGCGTTTGTGGAGACGAAAACGTACGTACCATTCATGCCCGTCTACACTCCAACGTGTGCAGCGAACACGCTCAGTCGCACAGTAGGCGCTGCCGTCGAAAGGCAGTTGACGAGTTGTGGCACACGCCAGCATCCGTTACACCAGGAAGAACTGGCAAGACTATGAAAACAGAACGCCCAACCTCATGAGGAGAGGGTGTCTAGAAGACAGGCAGACAAGACAGACGCAGACGGTGTGTGTTCGTTGGTACCACGCGTGCGAGGTCAGCTAAATTAAATACATTCCCGTTGATTCCGGGCAGGTTTCTGACGAATGAACCCTCCGCATCCAGTGGTTGGTTCGGGTCCTTCAAGCTCTTCGCCGTGTTTTGTGCGGGGTTACTGGTAGTCCCCGGCTGTGCACCCAACACTAAAAAAACAAACAGCGGGGCTGCATAAGAGATGTGGAACGCGGTTCGGTCGTTGGGAAGATTCCGCGTCTCAGACCCGCCCCGCTTGGGAAACATTGGCGCAACGGCCACAAAGAGGCTTCATGTTGTCTGATGACGGCAGGCATCGATCGCTCTCTCTGGCGAGAAGGTTGAGAGAGATGCGCCGCACGCCTGCACACACACGAGGCGAAGATGGCCACAAGAAAGTTACACGGAAGCGCTTGGCGACGACGACGGTGTGTAGCGGCAGCAGCGTTTTTCCCACGAGAACACGGCACTACGCCACTTTGTCCTTCGACGACAATTCAAGGCATGCCGTCGCTTTAGCAAAAGGATGCCGCCGCCCGTTTCGATGCTCTCAAAAACAGGGGGGGAGAAAAAATCTCCTAACAATATAAGCTCGTCGTTGTTTTATGTACAAAGGTGTTTTCTTTTTTTTCTCCTGCTTCAAAGCACTTCTGCCTACACATCGCATGTACACGGAGTTTGTGCCCACAAGCTTACACCCAGTCCTCCTCCCTAACCAAAAACAGTGCATTCCCGAAACGAGTACAGCCTTCTGCTTCCCCCTTTTCCAAGGATGATCGTAAAAAATGCGCCAGTTTTCCTCCCGAATGAGTGCAGCCTTACGGCGCTCCCATTTCCTACGTTCGTCCCAACCCTTCCGCCAATCCCAAATACGTAAACGCGTGCACCCTTCACACGTGGTTCCTGTTCAGCACCTCAGACCCCCACGCCAAGCCCACTCGAAACATGAGAGCCCTCCCTATACTATAGCACTCGCCGACACAAAATGGGCGCATGCATCCTTAAATACTTTCTTGTTTGTGTGTTGTGTGAACTCTTACCCTACGTAATCATCTCACCGTACCAATACCCCACCGAAGTATTGGTGTAGTCTGACTCGCCAAAACCATTAAAAGACATACGAAGTGTTAAAGACACAACTAACTACAACGGAATCTTAGTCCAACATTAAACAAGGACGATCCGAACAAGGCACAAACAGACTCTAAAATCGAACTACGCACAGGAAAAAGTTCCCGTCATTCTGTCCTCTGCACAATCGCATGAACCCGAACAATCCCCACATTAACTCAACCCCCGCACTCGTTACCCCCCGCGTGAAAATGCACTGCTTGCTGTCGTCGCAACCTATCGTAGAACTCATTCCCCATGTTTTCGCCACACTACACAAAAAAAACAAAGGCACTCAACATATACATACATATGCCACACGCAAGGGGACTGGTTTGTGTGACAGAATGGCGCCGAGCGGTCGCAAAGGGGCGTAGATTACAAGGAGCTACAGTAGTAGCTCTGCCTTTGCTACCATCAACTGGGCCTCTGCAACATATATTACCCCAAGACGTCTTCTTTTTATATAGTTATCCCGAAACATCCTGCCATAGAACTTTCGGGTTTTATCGAGGGCATCCTCGAGAAGAAACTCTACACTTGCGTATTATCCGACCACGAGTCCCACTCCACTCCACCATGGACAGCCTGCACGCTTATATACAGCCAAACCTCTTGTTTGTTCGTTCTCTTTCTACTCGTCTTCTTCGTGTTCAGTAGTAGGGGTCCTTGTAGGTGGTCTTCTTGGTCACCGTGTGCTCCCAGTACCGGTCCCCTTCCTCGTCGTACTTCGTCTCCCACCACCCCTTGCCCTTCTCCTTCTTCTCCTTCTTCTTGCCGGGGGGGCCAGCGACAGCGACAGGGAAGAGTGTGCCGCCGGGCACCGGCGAAGGCGTGAAGACCGGGCCGCCCGGGTAGCCCATGGGGGACGGGTTGACCGTCCCAACGGGAGGGACAAAGCCGCCACCGTAGCCGAAGTGCCACTCGCCTGTCTTGCTGTGCTGCCTGTTGGTTTAAGGAAAGTGCCGGAAATAGGGTGGAAACAAGGGGGAGGAAAAGGGGGGGGGTGGTTAAATACTCCACATCGAGTGGCCGGCTTCAACTTGCACATACCCCATGAAGCTCAACTTCGCGAGCAGCTCGGCAAAAAACTGTGTTTGAAGACGGAAACAATCAAAATCTTTTGTGTCGGATTGGGCAGGAAGGGCATCAAAGGGCCTATACTATCGCATCGTTGTGGGCAAGCCAAGGCGAAACACCCGACCAACTTGCTTGTTGTTCCAGACCTGTAGATCATTTGTCTAACCTCGGTCGTTTTCCAGGGATAAACGCTCGTGAGTCGTTAGTATATGTTGTTGATGTGCCCGCATTGAACCGGTCCGAATAGAGTTGACGTTGGGCCGTGCTCCGGGCCAGAAACGCAATATATTGTTGAACGCGGGATTCTCCCGCAAACCTTGTCGTTGTTGAACTGGCAAAGTGGCGGGCAGATTCTGTGGAAGTAGTACTTGGGTCTTTTATTCGAGCGGAAGGCCAGCAAGAACATCTACATGTACTTCGAAGTACTAACCATCCGGTTGAGGCAGTCCTATAAACAGCAGTAGCAGTACTGCTATAGTCTACAGTAGCACAGCGGCAGCAAGCAGTGGGTGAGAAAAAAGCTCGGAATTCCGAGGCTAGAAATGCTGCTACCCAGAGAGGGGACCGAAGGTAAACCGCCACTTTCGCATCGCTGCTGCTGTGTCTCGTCGTCTCTCACCAGTACGTGCGGCCGTAGACGTCCGTGAGCTTCTCCCAGCTCCCTTCGTCCTTCTTGTCCTTCTTCTTGTCAGAGCCCTTCCCTTCGTCTGTGTGTGAGAGCGCGCAGGGGGTGGCGAGAGAGCGACGGAGGACGGAGACAACGCGGGTCAACGAATTTTGGAATTTTGAGGCAACGGCCGTGTGGAGCAACTAACTTAGAGCACACATATAGCCAACCACAGCAAGCAGCAAGAGGCTCCAACCGCGCGAATGAGCCTGAAGCAGCAGCAGGGAGGGGCAGCAGCAACGCCAGAGATATGCACAGCAATCGCCGACGCACTTCAAGTCGTCGATCCCCGCTCTCACCTTTCTTGCGAGCCTTTCCGTTGTTGAAGATGCCCGCGAGTCCTTTCGTGAAGAACGACATGCTGTCTCACCCGTTACTGAGTGCTGTGCTGCTGCGCTGCGACGGCCGGGGTGGCGAAGTGTGCTGAGCACGTGCGTCGTACACTGCTTGCGGAGTTTCGCGAGGCTTTGCTCTGTTGCGGTTGGGTGCGTTGCGTCTTGCCGATGTGGGTTATGTGAAGGTGTGGGCGTGGTACGCCGGCGCGACGTGGATTTTTTTTTTTGACAAGATGGGAGAACTCAACGCACGAAAGCGCTCGCGAACCGTTCCTTTGTGGCGAGAGAAGGTTTCTCGGATAGTTCCGTTGCGCGATGCAGAGCCATGGAATGTGAGGACCGTTCTTTCCGGATGCGTCCAGGTTTTCCGGTCCGAAGATCGGTTGCGCCCTCTCTCCTCTCTCCCCTCTCGGTCTCACAACCTCATCCGACCGCACGCACACGGAAACACACCAAGCACCAGGCCCAACCAGCACTCATACAAAGCATACACCAAGCACACAGCAGCTTGGCAGTGCAACACCACCACCACCACCACCCCAGCAGCTGCAACAACAACAGGCACCACCAGCGAAAGCATGTCTTTCTTTTCGAACGGATTCGCAGTGCTGGCCAACAACAGGCGCCGCAAGGAGGCCAAGAAGGCCGCCAAGAATGGTAAGCAACCCCCAGCCAGGCAGCCGTACGTGCGTTTCGCTTCAACCTATGGCTTTGCCTTGCTTTGCACACTCCCGACTGTCCGCGCTTGTCTGCAGCAACGGCGCACCACTTTGTAGGGAACACATATATTGCGTGCATGCAAGTTTGTCGAGCCTTTGTTTGTGGTCTGGGATGCATGTTGGAGCCTTCCTGCGTTCGTTCATGTTGACGTCTAACTACAGTAGTGCTGCGGTTGTTCCTGCTCAACCCTTCCTCCCACACCAGGTGCGGACAAGAGCGCGCAGAGCTCTGACAAGATGGAAAAGAAAGACGAGGGAAGATGGGACATGCTCACTGACGCGTACGGCAGGACGTACTGGTGAGTGGCTTCGGGGTATTTACACCTCGGGGTATTCCACGTTGCGATTTGCGATTTGCTCACGGCAGGCGGTTACTGGTTGCGTGTCGAATTGCACAGCGATAAGGAGCGTTCGATGGGTAGACTTGGTACCTGAGTGTTTGTGCTGGTTTGGTTGGTGTTTGGTGATGGCCAATGTCGCAAACCCGTTCCACTCGACGTACTTTGTGAAGGTACTTCGTAGGAGCACCGCTCGCTGCTGAAACCCGTACATGCTGCTGTAGGTGCCAGAATTTATTCTGCGCTGTGGATTATCACCTACGCAGATTTTCAAATGTTCATTTCTCCACGACGAAGAAGATGTACAAATAAATCAAACGATACATGTTCGGAAATATCTCGACGAGACCGCCATTTTCGGCACCGTCCCGCTCTTTCTTTGCCGTGGAGTAATCGGCCTTTGAAAATCGATGCAGGGTGTGTGATATATTACGCCACCTGCATGTTAATCAATCTGCAGAGATGTCATATGCATGTGCACATATTTGCTCGTAGATGTAGCCGATGTAGGTGTGAACTTTGTCTCGAAACTGGTGTCTTCGCGTCAACAAGCAGCATGCTTAGCTAGAAGTACGTAACAGTCCAGTGATAGGAAGGAAGGACAACGCTCGCTTGCCCCCCCCGCCCAACCTCCCGCTTGCAACATAGCTAACCTTCTCCCTCCCGCACCGAACATGACAAAAAAAAAACAGGCAGCACAGCATCACAGGCGAGTGGACCTACGGCTGCGGCGGAGGCCTCGTCTCTCCCGTTGGGACGGTCAACCCGTCCCCCATGGGCTACCCCGGAGGCCCGGTCTTCACGCCTTCGCCGGTACCCGGTGGCGCGCTGTACCCTTTCGCCGTCGCCCCCCACCCCAAGAAGAAGGACGACGACGAAAAGGACGAGAAGAAGGAGGAGGGCAAGGGGTGGTGGGAGACGAAGTACGACGAGGACGGGGACCGGTACTGGGAGCACACGGTGACCAAGAAGACCACCTACAAGGACCCCTACTACTGAACGAGTCTCCTGCACATTTGTTGCGGAGTAGGAGTGTATTTGGAGAGAGGCGCTACTGCTGAATAAAGTAGTATTTTGTTTACGATACCAACAAGCGGTATTGGTGTATGTAGTGGTAAGGAGGATGTGTGTCTGAGGCGGAAAAGGTCCTCTGCTGGTTGGTTGGTTTGTTCCGAAGGAATGTAGTCGAAATGGTTTTATACAGTGAAAAAAGCAGTCAAAACAAAAAGTAGTGGGTGGTGTGTTCGGATGGAGTTTTGGGAATTGAATGCGGTTGTTTTTTTGCAATGAGCTTCGAAGTACGCGGGCGTGCGTGTGATACAGGGTATAAATCCTTCGAGTTTGTACCGTGTCGTTGCTGGTATGTTTTCTTTCATTGCTGTGTGTTGGCTTTGCAACAAGAACATTCGGCGGTAGATGCTGAAATAATAAAGAAGTAGATGTTGTTATCGCTGAACGATTGTTGGGAGGGGTCGGCGTTGTTGGCGTGTCAGATTGGCCTTCGATTAGCAGAGTGCTTCTTGCTCACCCTCGACCGTGGTACGAATGAACATGAATCTCTGAAAAGGTGGGGGCAGGGTGACAAGAAGAGTGGTCTAGATGTAAAAATAGAAACTTCCCTTGGCGGTGGAGTTCAATTTCGCTTCTTCTTCTTTCCGGATGGCTGTGATCGCCACATCACGTTGTTGATATGTTTGGGGTGTGGTTTGGGGGAACGCTCTCACGATGGGCATGGGTGGGTGTGGATTTGGCGAAACGAATGCAGAGAAAAATAAAAATGAGTTTTCAAACAATCACTCGGTCGTTGGTATAGGGACACCACTGTACTCCGTACCCAGAGGGGGGCTATGTCGACTTGTCGCTTAAGCGTGCAGAACATGCGAGGTAGAGCGCCAGCATTTGCGCTTAGCGCCTAAAACCCCATCGATGGACCGGGTGCCCAGGGCCAAGTCCAAGCCCGCCCTCGGGGCATCAATGACGGGAGTTTTTTCGAGACGTGCACGCTCTTGAACACAAGTTATTGAGAGCGGTCGATTGCCACATGTCTCAGCATTCGTGCCCAAAATCAACCAAACCCCGTTTCCGGCAGTGGGCCCGGGCCGATCAAACGCGGGTTTGCAAGATTGATGGGTCGCTTTCAGCAGCGGGCGGGGCAAGTTTCACCCCCCCCCCCCCCCGTGTTCTGCTAGGAAATCGTCTTCCTGCATACAGCTTCATGTTGAGAGTTATATCCGTTCGCCCATCGCGCTTCGGAAAACCAAGCTCGACGTCGGACGAATTTCCTCTATCTATCCGTTCGCCACTCGCGCTTCGCAACACCAACTCGACGATTGTCCTCAGAGGATAAGCATATCCCTGCATGCAGGTGGTCATGAACAAAAGACACTGCTTGACTCACGAAGGTATAGTGCGTGGTGCGTTGTGGGGGACATCAAATGATGGCAGGGTTGTCCCCCCAGCTTCCGGTGTGGTGGGTGGACTCGAACGGGGGAAATAACAAACGCGTGAGTGCACGCGCAAGGTTTGACAAAACAGGCGCCACCTCCACCTCTCTTCCGTCAGTCACCCGAACCTTTTCTGTTCCATTCGATTGGAGCTGCAAGCGTTTGCAGCCAGCCGCTTCTGGAATGTCGGGTACACATCATGTGACCCAGTCACACCATGCTCCCTCGAGAGCACCACAGAATATTTTCATACGCTCACAACTTCAAATTCCACCCGTTCCTCAATCCTGAAACTATAAATATTGCATGAGGTCTGGCACCTTCGGTGCATCGTACCACCAACGGCGGTCAAGAAATCTCAACTCGAAAGAAACAGTGAGCGTTACAGTCTGGCCCTAATTACACAGTCGGCAAACGATTGAGTCCAATCTTTGTTCTTTCTTTCCTCACGTATCAATAAACGCCATCGACGCCTAAACTATGTAAGTCTAAAGGACATCCGTGCCGAGGGGTACTATCGAGAGTTTAAATAAAAAAACATACACCCTCGCCCACCAGGCACCCATGTACCATACATGAAACTGCAGTAGACTGAGAAGACAATGAGAAACCGCGCACAACAAGGATACGGTGCAACGGATATGATATACACTACAACAAAAAACGAAACACGCGAGCTGGCGGGATGGCCTGCAAACTCCCACCATGGCAGCGGAGGCAGAGCTCGCTGTACCCTTCCACAAAACAATATTGATTTCAAGGCTACTATTCCCGCGCGGAAAATGTATGGACTGTCCGTTGGCAGTGGAAAAGGTATGATCTGTACAACATCCCGTATTCCCCACTCTGGTCCCACTCTCTTGACATACGTGTTGAATACGCATTCTGTAGCCACAACAACGTTCCGGTTAAGCTTACGACAACTCCCAACGCATTGCAATCAAAGTCTGCCTGATAAGAGGAAAGCTCGACGTGCATGCTATATTACAAGCGTCTGCACTACCGCAGCACACACACGCCCTTCAAGACAAAAACATATCACGGCCAGCAGGAGAACAGCTTACACCTACGTCGATCAATGCAAGCTCTATGTGTCAACCCATCGGTCTCTCTGCTACCCCCCCTTCACCCTTTGTTCCTGGCAACAACACGACCAGAAACGCGTCAGCCACGGTAAAACCATTCCAGCGACAGGGCCGCCTCACACGTCAACCCCCCTCCCCCTCGACAAAAAAACGCCGCTTGCTCTGATTCACCTCCCCGCGACTTCCTTCTTCCTTCTGCACTCGTCACAAACAAACGAGTTTGATAGACCACACGTGCAGCAATCCTCGGCCTAAATTGCCGCCGCCCCCCGCCCCCCAGGAATTGCACTCCGAAATCTGTGGCTTCCAAGTAACTGATCTTCCTTCGCCATTGGAACTTTAACTTTTTTCTCTTCCTCCATCTCCCTCGAACGTGCCGTTCCCACCGAGCAACACGCCTGCTCCCTACCCCCGCAAAAAAAACTGCACGAGAGAAAACTCAAAGAGCGACCTCATCATGAGGACGAGGGCACGGAGGGCCACAGGGCTATCCGGCCGTGCAAAGTGTCCTCCTCGCCGTCCTCTTGCGTCTCCCCTTCCTCCTGTAGCCGAAGGTGGCCCTCCTGCGATACATGTACGATGACGAAACGAAACGGAACGAAACGACGAAACGGTACAACGAAACGGTCATACCAAACGCAATAGCAAGCGCCACAACAACGAACCGTGACACGTCCCCCAATCAAACGAAACCAAGATACGAATGTAATCAATAGTCGTTAGCGGCTGCCAGGGCGACGACCAAATTTCAAAGATACACTCTGCGCCCCCCGCCCCCCCCCCCCCCCC